CAAATGGTTTTGGACCGTCTCCTTTTTCCTTGTGGGTCGTTTTTACCACTGCAAACGCAACAGTTTTTTTCTTTGGTTCCCTCCAGCTTTTCGAGGCCAAACTTTCTACTATTGGGAGAAGGACCAGGACCGTCACCACATCCTCGGGCATCAACTCCAGGATTTTTCTCTGTGAACCATAGTAACGCCAATTCTTCTATGATGTCTATTTGGAACTGCAATCGGGAGACAGGTTTGTCTGTATTAAGCTTATAAAGCACGTAGGCATTTAGAATCATCCTACCAAAAATGTTGAAAATGACTTTTTTTAAATGTTTCATGCAACGACGCTTGTCCAGGTATGTATACAGCATCTGATCGGTGCCATCGATGCCTCCCATTCCGTGATTGTATTCGTAAACGACATGGGGCTTAGATTTTATGACAACCTTCCCCCCCCCCCTTCTAATAACATAGCGAACGTTGGCAGCTTTGGCATTTGACGAAACTAAAATGAATTGGGTTCTGTTTGTGCTTTTTTCACGATATGCCATCCATAGAACTGGGCCTTTTCTTACGTAAACCTTTTTCCCTACAGGATATTTCCCGAGCAATTGTTTCGGTACTCCTCTTCTATCAATACGGACCATCCCTGTCAACCAAGTTTTGTTGTTGTACAAATATCTCACTAGCTTTTTTGAAGTAAAGAAATTATCCAAATAAAGGTGGTACCCTTTATTCAAAAGGTTGCTCATCTGTAACAATCTCTTTACAACGGAGAAACCCTGGCCTAGTTGTTCGATTTCCTCTCTATTATCTTCGTACTTGGCGCCCTTGTAACAAAAGAACTTTAAGCAATAATTTGTGGTGGCATCACAAAGGACCCACAGCTTAATACCCCATCTGTGATGCTTTTTCTTTGGCAGGTATTGAGTCAGAGCTATTCTTTTTTTCGTTCCAACCAGGGACTCGTCAACAGAAAGTTTCTGGAACGGTATGTAGAAGAATTGAAAAAGCCGGTTGCAGTGATCTATAAGAGGCTGGAATCGACCGCATGGGTCATAATTGGGAGAGTTTTGTCGTGGCAAAGTCCTGGAATCAACAATATGGAAGAATTTTAATATTGACTGGAACCTATTCCTGCTGAACATTTTGCCAAACCAATCAGTTTTTTGTGATGGAGTTGTGTACCAGTAGCTTCGTATAGATGGTTTTTTCAAAATCCCCATGTTCAAAATTACAGCGATAAACGCTTTCATTTCGTGTACGGTGACGTTACACCAATCTTTCATGTTATTTCTAGCTACATCATTATTGTTAAAAAAGTTCTGGGCATATCTGTTAGTTTCATTTGCCAAAGTGGTAATTAGGTTCATCGTAAAAAAAAGGTGAAAATAATCAATAGGCTTAGAATTCCGGGGAGGACAATGTTTGGGCCCAGGCAATTCAGAGTATGTGAAGTCGTGTTGCCGATCTTGATCTTCGTCCTCTCCCACCTCCTCCCATTCGCTACTATCTGGACTGGATGGTTGATCTCTCCTTCCCCTACCCCTAACTCTAGTTCCTCCCCTACCCCTTCCTCTAGGTATTCCTCTCCTTCCTCTAGACATTTCTCCCCTTCCTCTAGATATTCCTTCCCTTCCTCTAGGAATTTGAGCCGATGTGCCTGGCAAATCCATTGGTTCAAGGTCATGTGTTGTGCCTGGCAAATTGAACGGTTCAAGGTCATGTGCTGTGCCTGGCAAATTGATTGGTTCAGGGTCATCTACTATTTCCTCAGATGCATCATTAGGAGGGTCTCTTTGCCCAAATAAGTTAAATCTACGCCTAGACTGATCATTATCATCATCATCAGAACCAGAGCTTGATTCGCTTACATAGTCAGTTCGACTAGGCCTATTTGCCAAAAAACTAAAACGATTATTTTCCTTACTTCTATTTGGATTGTAGTCTGGGTCCTCGTCAGTGTCATCCACATAGTCGTCACTCGTTTCGGAAGATGGTATTTCATCAAATGAGTCACTACTATTGTCTTCGTCAACAAAATTACAACCACTTTCTATAACATTATTGATTAGTGTACCTTCACTGGCGGGCGACCGGCACCTTTTACGGTTTCCGTCACTCATTTTTCAAAGGATTTTCCCACGCACAAGTTTCACCAAACAGCTAAACATTCGCGATAGTCACAAATCGATGTTCACTCACAGAAAGACCGGGCGAAACTAAAGAAATAATGCGCCAAACGAAGCAAATTCGCGCTAAAACACTAACGCGGGAAGTTTTTACAGAATCATTATATAACAGCTCCGAAGATGAAAGTTGTTGTGTAATAACTAAATAACAATATTTATTTCTTTATTTTTATTTTTACTTATAGTTATTTGTTTACTAAATTGATGTGTTTTATATAATCACGTGCAAACAACAACAGTGAAGTCGATGGAAAATGCGCCAAAAGAAGCAAATCGGCGCTAAAACACTAACGCGGGAAGAATAGGCCTAGGCTAGTTTTACACATTCATTATATAACAGCTCTGAAGGTGAAAGTTGTTGTGTAATCACTAAATGAGAATATTTATTTATTTATTTATATTTTTACTTAGTTATTTGTTTACTAAATTATTGTATTTTATATTATGACGTTTAAACAACAACGGTACAGTCGGCGGGAAACTGTCAAGCGAAGCGTGATGCCACGTAAATTTCGTCGACTTTCGGCTCTTGGTAGCACTATATAAAATATTATATTTATGTTTTCTGAAAATATTTCCACAGACAATGTTTTTATCTGTCCTTTGATGTATTATATAGACATTTATTACGAAAATTAACATAATTGCATAACAAATACTAAAAGCCGATGACATCGGCCCTTGGGTTTTTTCGTGTCTTGTTGCTAGGCCGATCTCATCGGCCCTCGGGTCTTTTCACGGCTAATTACAAAGCCGATCAGATCGGCCTGTGGGCATTTTAAAACCTATTGGCAGAGCCGATGTAATCGGCCCTTGGGACCCAAAGGGTTAACCTTCTGAAGCTTACATACAAGCTCTAACTTTCTCAGCCATTCCGAGAAGTCTCCTTCGCCATCATACAACTTTATCAAATCCGAAAATCTTGTACCGTTTCCAGACATGCCGAAATATCTTGTGGGAAAATAAATAAGAAAATAAAACTCTTCAGAACATTCTACAACATACTTATATTTCACATACATCGAAAATTAGAACAACAAAACAAAACGAACCTTCTTTTTTCACCTTTCAAACATTCATTGAACTCTACCAATCATTAGTCACCATGACAACCAAAATATCCAAAAATTTAAACATAAGCAAACTATTAGTCAGCTGATGCTGCTTCACAACTACAGGGAATGTTAAATGCAATATAAGAATAAAATATGTTTGTTTGTGTACTAAGTTAAAATATATTTTTTAATTTAAACCTGCCAATACTGGAAAGAGACAAGATGTTACAAATTTATTAGTACAACATTACAACAATGAAGAATTAAGTCATGAACATTAGTAAAATGGGCATTTAGCAAACAAGCATTGTAATAATTTAGTGTTAATAATAATTGTTTTATTGTAAAAAGTAAGTATTTATTTTACCCCCTCCCTAAAACAAAAAAATAACAAAAAAAGTATAAAAAAATATTTTGGACAAAAGTGCTGCATAGGTAAACTATTTACAACATTCTATAAATTACAGATATAAAAAAAGATACTTTTTAGTTTCTATATTTAAATAATTTTGCTGTCTGTATACAAACCATATGCCGTCTGGGAAGGGTTAACATAATTAGTAAGAAACTTTTCATATTGCATTTGCTAATCGGCTAATAAAGTTTTGACTTCAGCGTTTGAGTAAATCAGTTTACTCACAACGCGGTCTGGGAGTTTTGCTTCAGCCAATGTCCAAATAGAATTTTTGAAGTTCATTGTTGGTGATGGTGAGTTAATGTTGTTCAAAGGTTTATTGCGGACATTTTCCACCACGATTGTAAAAAACAATAATTGTTTTTTACAATCGTGATGTGTTTTACAATGTCCGCAATAAACCTTTGAACAACAAATAGAATGCTCACTCCGCAACGTGGGTATTTCACACTTTCCACTTTGCGAAGTGGGTGAACATTTTGGGTGTTGTTCGAATTCGGAGTTTGAGTGTAACATATACACAAGAATGGTCAAAACCAAAAATTTTGAATCTGGAATCACACAACTCAAACTCTATTCACTTTTAATGAATGTAATGAAATGCATTCAAATAACTTTCAAATAACATTATCAAAATAACATGATCAAATAACTGACAAATAAATTCACTTACTAAAAAAAGTAAAGCTAAAAGTAAAAAATAACCTATAGAATAAATCAAAGATATCAGCAATCCAGCACATAATTTCTCCTATTAGCTTGTCAACAAGGGATAAGCGATGAGAGTAACTACTGTACTATAATATTTAATAGGTAAAATCACAAAAGTTGCATTAACTTTCGAACCGTAATTTTTACAGGAATGGGGGTTGCAATATTTTGTTTAAAATTACAAGGACAATATTATACTAATTTCAATCAAAACCAGCAAAAAAAAAAAAAAATTCTCTTATTTTCTGGGAAAATAACATAATTTACAATCAGTTTAGAACCGAAATTTTTACCCAAATGGAAGTTCTACCATTTTGATCAGAATAGGGCTACAACATACTAAAGTTTTATCAAAACCGTCCGGGCCATTTTTGAGAAAATCAGATTTTTCATTATTTTACTTGTTTTAAATAGAAAAATCCAAAATACAAAAAAATAAATAAATAAAAGCCTGGAGATACCATGGATTAGTACTTAAATACAAAATTTCATCAAAATTGGACCACAGGTGTAGTCTGCAGCTCTTCATTACTTCGAAAACCACTTTTTTGGGTCCAGAGGGGGAGAAAGTACTATGTATAAGGGGAGAAAGTAAAAAGATATATTCATCCTAAATAAATTAACATAGGCCTAATTAATACTTACGTGTTGATAAGTTTATTGATAAGAGTTGTACAGATTTCATGTCCTACAAGGATAAGATCGCGAAATGTAGCCATGCCCATCTCTGATTGTTGTTCCTGAAAAAAATTATCAATTATCAATTATCAATTATCAATCATTAAGATGGGGACGACACTTTGGTGCGTATTTTAACCCAAATATGAGTGAAGGATGAGTGTAGAATGGTGTGAGACGATCTGTGTAGCTTTGTTACTGACTTAGATCAGCTGTTTCATTAGCCAGGATCATTTATTTATTCAGTCTAGTACAATCGACTTATGAGAGAGGACATTCAAAGTATTTGGAAACATTTTCATGATTTCTGAATCTCTCTGAGGTGAACAGATTTGTATTCAAAGGTCTACACGTGGTGATGGTTCAATCAGGGTACAGTTTACAAATCAACTGCACCCACAGTCTTTGAACTTTTATCAGATAATACTGTATAGCCTACACATGGGTGTCCACCTAAAATAAAAACTGTTTTGTGTGCCTAAGGAATAGTGTCTGTGATGACATGGAACTGACAATAACACATGCTCTTCCAAAAGCCAAGTAAATGACAGATAAAATACTATTTTGTATACCTGAGGCATCGTGTCTGTGATGACATGGAACTGATGTTCACACATAATCTTCCACAGACCCAGCACTTGACACGAGTGGTCCACCAGTGAGTTGAGAGCGTCCAAGCTGTGCTTCTCTTGTAGCTGCACCTCTTGGAGTCTGCTGCGGCCAGCTGCTACTGGCGTCGTGTCCATTGTTGATGTTACAAAGCTGCAAAGTTAAATTATCATACTTTAAAGAAACAGTCTGCAGTACAGAAAATTTAAGGTCGGTACAGCAGGGTACAATGTTTTGTACCTTGGTTCTCGGTACAAAATCGTTAGTTATAAATAAATAAATAAAATAAGGTCTTTATTCACGAGTGAATTTCAGTTACAGAACTGTTTTACAAATTGACTCAAGTCAGGACTTAAACTAAAGAAAACCTCTTATAACTACGAAACAAAATAAGATTAGTTACAAACTCTTTAGGCGATTCTTAAAATTGTTGTAAGACAGTGCTTTTAGCGTGCAAGGAAGTGCATTGTACTGAGCCAGCCCAAAGTAAGAAAACCCCCTTCTACCAGCATCAAGAACAACCCTTGGTATGTCAAGCAACAAGTCCTGTCTAGTTCTGCGCTCTCTCATGGCCGACCTCGCTTTCAGTTATTCCTTCAAGTACTGTGGTGCCTGAGTGATCAGTGTTTTGTGGACGATACATGCAACCTGCTTATCACAGCTCTCCCGGACGGACATTGTATTCGAGATCCTACGGTGACTTGTGATATGATAATATTTTTTAAGGTTGTATAAGAACCTTAGGGAGCAATTCTGTAGCCTGTGAAGTATTGTGATCTGTTCCTGTGTTAAGCTGTATTCAATTCAGGTAGGCAGTAATTTAAAGTAGGGAAAATCAGGGATTTGACCAACCTCAACTTTATGTTTGCTGGGAGCAGTGTTCTAAACCTATTAAGCACTTTTAATTTTCCAACAACACATTTGCTTATCTGTTTTACATGGCTAGAAAAAGTCAGCTGTGAGTCAATTGTCACACCAAGAATCTTAATGCTTTTGGAAGTTGAAAGCTCTGAGTTATTAACTGTGACTTTGATGCTATGTTTTTCCAGCTGCTCATAGATTGCTGCATTCCAAAGTGTATAGCGGAACATTTTTCGGGGTTTAGCTTTAATCCATGATCCTTAGACCATTCACAAACCTTTGAAAGGTCACTACTCATATGCTGTCCCAACCAAAGTAGGCTGGTATGATAAGAAGATTTGGCAGTCATCAGCATAAGAATACATAATCCTGAAATCCAATACTGATTCAATACCTACTATATACAGATTGAACAAGATAGGACCAATACAACTTCCCTGGGGAACACCGACTGTCGTTGCCACTGATGATCTGAGCTGATTGCCCACCTTTGTAATCTGTGATCTCCCACTCAAATATGTGGTCATCCACTCTAGAGCCGTACAATCAAATCTGAAATATTTTAACTTTGAAATCAACAAGCTACGGTTTACAGAATCAAACGCATGTGTATAATCTAACGACGACAATACGCTGCACAGCTTATTATTTTTGGCTCTGTAAATTTCATCAATCATATTAAGCAAAGCTGTGCATGTACTGTGTCTCCTTCTAAAACCAGATTGGTTAACATCTCAAATCTGCTTTGCATCAATGAAATGCGTTATCTAGTCCACAACAACCTTCTCTAGGAGTTTTGACAACGAAGGTTTGCCCCTGAGGCACTGACTCAGTGTTTACACATAATTGCTGGTGTTCACCAGACTTATGTTGGGTTGGTTTGAAACGATTTCCTACATCACTTACTTCACTTCCTACTTCCCTAAGCGCATCCTTTGAAACCCAATGAAATATTAAATTTTCCATTCGTTTTACAACCACTTTATTCAAATGCCTTCCATCACGAGACAGATGATATCTGCGAATTGTTTTGTTTCCATCAGCAAAGGCTACTCCAAAGATGTTACACATGAGGTAAAGCTATTAATTTAAATATGCAAGTGATGAGTTGCCTATGTCCCTACGACAAAGAACACTGCTTACAATAATATAGCTTTGATTGTGGGAAATAATGCCTAGCTGTACTTAAGAGATCTGCCATTTCATGCAAGGCCTCACACTTGCCCGAGCCACCATTATAACCTGGACCACCGTTGTAGCCATACCTCAGGTTATTTGTACCAACGTGAAAATAAATGCATTTAGGTTGGCAAATAACATAATTAATGAGTTTCTCTTTGATGTGTCTAACTTTTGACCCTGGATTTACGTCAACCAAAGCCCCATTGTCAGCTAATTTTACCCCTGAAAATCTCAAAAGTGAGTCCCCAATTATCAACATGTTTGCTATGGAAACTCCCTTGTTACGATTACCCACCCACTGACCAAAAGCACTCTCTTGCTAGATGGGCATCAGAAGAAGTAAGATTATGCTCGCCTTTGTTCTTTGCTAAAACATGCACTTTACTGTTTACATTGTTTTTAGCGAATTTCCCATATAGGGAATAAAAAAATTACCGTAGTACTCATGGTAAGACCTGGACCCGGGACCGATTTAATTTTTCATTTTGAGGTCCCTAGAGGCCAAAAACACCATTCCTTCAAATTCATATATATAATTATACATACATAAGCAACGAATTGGATTAGGTACTTAAATGCAGGTATCTAAACCACTTTAAATATAAAATATTTACAGGACACAAACTACCATGAATTAATTTCTTTGAAAATAATCTGTAACAGTTTTATGTTTTTGAATAAAGAAATATATCTTTTTGTCTCTACTGAATTGTTTTGTTACTTGCATTTTGTCAGCAATTGGGGTGGGGGAGAGGGTCTATGACCTTGAATGCCCCCGGGCCTGGCTGGTGAGAATGATTTTTTGTTTACATCTGTTGTAAAAGGACTTAAATTGTGTAGAATGATAAAGAGAAAGGTGTATTAGGTGCAAGTTTTACTTAATACAAAAACACAACATAACTTTCCACACAACAACATTTGGTATCCATGACAACTAACTTATACAGGACACATGTGATACCAAAATGATTATTCTCACAAATCATATTTCAACACCCTCCTTTATTTGTGGGATCCCTGGCACTGAATGCAGTCTCTGAACTTTTCCCTGTCAAGCGCCTTTGTTACAGAATCAGCAACCATCTCTTTAGTAGGAACGTAAATGAAGGAATCTGTTTGGATTGAATCTTCTCCCTCAAGAAATGATGCCTTACATCAATATGATTCTTCCTGGCTTGGTACGTTCTATTCAAGGCCAAGTTCCTGGCTCCCTGGTTGTCTCAATATATCTGGATCAGACTCTTTGGAGACAAGTTTTCTTCAGCGCTGAGTGGTGGTTCAGTGCAGAACTACAGATATTTCGGGCGCCAAATTTGAAAATACTGTTAGAATATTGTCCATAGGACCTGTTCTTCTTTATAGTTTGTGTATTCATTGTTTATGGGGGGTTTTATGGGGTAAAAATGTGTTTTTCCCATTTTTTACCCTAAAAACAAAAAATTTTGCAATTTCTTTCTAAACCGTTTCGTAGAGCTTAAAAAAAGAAATAATTTAGTATATTGAAGCGGTTATATGCCGCTATATAATTTAGTATATTGAAGTTGTATGCCTAACGGTCACGGAGAAAATTCAAAAATAGTTCAATTTAAAATTCCCATGTTATTCTTATGGAGAAAATAAAAATTGTTGTAGTTTACTTGTTTATGGATATATATTGATAAAATTTTGCAAATTTATTTATTTCATCCCATACTATTCACGTATGGTCAAAAAACACTTTTTTCCTTCCCCGTAGCAGCAAACATAAGCACTTGTTAAATCTAATGTTATTTAAATAGGGAATAAATATGTCTTATTTATAGAAATACTAGTGGCTTGTAGGGACTTAAGTCCCTAAAAAGCTCAATAATATAAAACAAGTTATTCTAATATTTAAACAAACTAAGAAATACATCTAAGTGTCAGAATAAATGCCCCTGTACGCCATATCTTTTGTGTAAAAAACAGTTTGTTGTTTGTCTTTGTTTGCCTTTGTTGATGTCATTTTCAACAAATCATTCAAATCACTTAAAAGGTTTAACTCTGATAAAGGCAGCAAACAATTGTTTGTGAATAAATACTGGTTTATTAAGGTAGCTTTGGTCTTGTGGTTAATGGTGATTAAAAAAGACTTCCCTGATTGGAATTTTGTAAATTGTCTTAGTCAAATATGAAAAGGCAAATAAAGGTGTGTTGAGGTAAGCTTAGTTCTTAGTTCTTGGCCAAACCCGCTAAATTAACATCCAGTTAATATTTCTAAGTTTATACTCCTTTTGTTGAGGTTTAACAACATTAGTGTAAAGTAAAGGCATATTGACTAAAACTTGACCCTAGATTTTTCTGATCAACATAAAAAAAACTACAATTAGTGTAAGTTTATGTGGTGGTATTCCTCTTAAAGGTGCGATTGACGTTACATATTCTATCAAATTAGGCCTAGTCATCGGCTGATTCTTAACTTTTTTGTGAGCAACAGACAGTACCTGTTTAAAATCTCCAAACAATATTGTTTTTCCTCCCATTGGAACTTGTCATAGTACTTACTTAATTAACAAATATATATTTCCTGTATGAACCTATTCCACCTTTATTCCCAGGTTATCTTCTAAGAGTAGCCGTAGAGGTTATTCCACTTCATACTAAATATTGATTTAAACACTACAATAAATCTCAAATTTAAAATAAAGAAAGTGTAGAATAAATCTAGAACATATGTTTTAAAATAAAAACGAAGCAGACGTTTTTTCATTTAACCTTGAATCGTTAATAATTATTTAGTCAACGTGGTTATTTCATGTTATTACATCGCAGAATTTACTGGCAAATAAGTGATCCAAATGTTAATATTGCATACTGGCTTAATGATAAATCACGGATCAGCTGTATTGAAGTAAACAAAAATCTGCAGTAAATGGCTTATAATGCTATTCTTATGGAGAACATTTTACGTTATATCTCGTTTTCTGGTAACTTTACGGGAATTCTGCTATTTTTCCCGAGTCCCTGGGGTCAAGACCTTTAATTTAAGACCCCTCCCACGTTTCTGCGACTTACCAGACGTCCACAATTTTCTGGTAAAAATTTAGTCTTACAGAATTATATATAAGGATTTGAGTAAAAATGTAATCAGA